CCCACATAACTGAAATCAAGTAATAAGAAAATAATAGTGAAACCTTGAACAGAAATCCGGAAGCCACTTGGATTTAAAACTTGGACGGTCAGTTTGGGCATTTTAATTTCATGTTGAGAATTTCCAATTTGCAAAAGACATAAAATAACTAGAATAGAATAACGTGCTAAAGTCTTCACGGCCATCTTGATACTGACATCTGAGGGTCTACCACGAATATTTGACAGTATATAACGTCATCGATAAAATTTATTCAACATTTGATGATGTTGGCACTCAAATCTGATAGGAATTTTATTGATGTTATCGAAAATGTTTTTGATTAGCCATTGGCCTAATAAGTTTTGTGATGACTCTACTAATAAAAGATTTACTGACAAGTTCATCCTTATTACATTTTGTACTACCTCTACACTAAAGTTTTTGTACGCGTTTATCGGTTTTAATCAGTCATGTTACAGTACCACCGAGGATGATAACCTTTGAATGTGACGCGGTAAATGGCGAGTTGTTTATCTAGATTTATTTTTAATTTAGAAAGCCGCATTACACTGAAGAAGTAAAAAAGTTATTCTTTTGAAAATCTTCATTAAAGTTTTTGTTAGCTTTGTAAATCTTATTTGCTTAAGAAGCTTAGTTCTGGTAAATGAATACAAAAAACACTATTTATTGACCAAAAACAAAATTTACAAAACATATTATAATGTAATACAAATCAGTTCTTAAGGCTCAGCTGATGCGGCCTCCAGCTTGTCAATGAAGGCAGCGCTGATTTTCATATTAAAAAAACATAATTCTATTTTTATTTATTGTAACAAATATTAATGACTCATGTTACAAAGCTATAACTTTAACATAATCAACTTGTAGAGCTGGCTGGGTCCATGTCGGTCTCCAGGCAGGCATGTCTGTCCAGAAGTTGTAGCTAGCTTTCCTCTTCTTGTTGCTCCAGGGCTTCGGGTGTCCATCGCCTGTGATGACGTCATCTTTGAACTCCGTGACCCCTCCAACGGCCACGCCAAGCGCTAATTGGAACTGAAAGTCAACATAGTGTTATTGTTTTTAAAATTTTTTATTCCTCCAGATTTTACAGCCAGCAAGCAATTATTGGTGAAATAGTCATTAACAAAAATACTTACATGGTCATCAAAAGGTGCCATTCTATTACCAAAAGACAGGAATGTGCGTGGAATGTCGCAGTAACGGTTGAAGCGGCCGCTGAGACCGCTGGCCGTCGGCTCCACGCGCAGCCACTCCTCGCCGTCCACACTAAACGTCATTTTATCTAAAAATAGAAAATGTGTTTCAGTATATATTGGAAAAATAAACAAAGGCAGAAATTCTCCGAAATCATATGAACAATAAGAAAAATTACCTGGTTCCCACCTTACTGAGTAAACATGAAAATTGCTAGACCATTGAGGTCCGTTAAATAGCTCCTTTCGTCCTAATAGAACTTGTCTACATGCCAAGTTCATTATTGGACCTCCATATAGTATCTGGAATATTAAAAATGCCCAATTTATAACTACATCAACGATTTCAAATTTATTACAATATATTATTCATTCGTTTGATATCTTTCGTATTTCAAAACTCACCTTATTTCCATATTCATCAGGTCCGAGTCTGAGATCACTGTTGCCTAGTGCTGCTGCAATTTTAATTACACCCGATGCGTATTTAGGGGTGCCGTACTTTTTAAGTAAAGATTCCAGTAGAATTTCTAAAAGTAAAAATCAGAAGCCAGTAAGTTTCATTTTTAAAGCAGCTGCAGGGTAAACTGAACATAAAGTAAGTGAAACAGTACTTTATCTAATAGTCAAACAAAGTTGCGATGAAGCAAAAGACATTTTGATATGGCCAAGTGACGAAGCATCTTGTTGTTTATTTAGAGAAACAAAAAAAGGATCGAATTACCAGGGTAGATCCAGTCTCCTTTCGGCAGTTTCGCTCTGATTTCAACAATGCCGTATGTGAACGCAAAGGATTTGCTTGTGAGGCGACCGCTCACCACCGGCGGCAGTATACTAGCGCCCATCGCAATCGCGCTGCACGACTCTGCTGTCCTCGTACATCTACCAAATAAAATAAATTTAACAGTGGTAGATCCCGGTTTAACAACTTCGCACAAATGGATTGGCTTGTCCGTTGTAATACCACCACAGAGAAGCATGAAATGGGAGCAATTCTGCATTTCGAATGGGAACAAATTTGGTTTCCTTTCCACCCCTTTCTTAAGAGGAAAGGATAGGAAGGAAACGTGGATTTAACGACTGAATAGACGCATAAGGAAGGAAAACATCCCGTTTATTTGAGTGTCCTCTTCCGTCGATTTACTTTTAATCGTGGCGCATCTGTAATTGTGGATGTTTATGAGCAGCGATCGCTTCACTATTACGGTGAACTCAGGTGGCCACTTTCTCGTTTGCTACTTGTTTATAATATATAAAAAAGAATTAAACATCTAAGATTTTTGACTTTTAAATTCACGCCATACTAACTGTATAAAGTACTAACCCGCTGAATAGATTGAGTGATCCAGTATACAATGACTCTTGGCTGAAGCCATTTTGTTCCTCCTGCAATTTCGGCTCAATGCTCAAGAATCCATTCTCTACGGTGACTGTTTGGGCATTCGGCGGCCGTTGATACGACACGAAAGGATACTCCTGAAAAATGTACGCATCCAATGATTAAATCGATCTTATTGAGATTGCTAAATAGCGCACCATTCTTCTAATTTGTACGGGGCATAAACACCAGTTATACTAACAGGCTGATCGGGTATGTATTGCTCGATCTGCCATAAGTCCTCACGTAGGCTGTTAAAATTGTCCTCGAATATCGTCTGGCCAGCGCACGCGGTGCCGACGCGCAGTCGTGTCACAGTTGGCCGACATTCCGTGGGTCTTGACGTACTTGGTTGACTGTCCGGGCTTACTAATTCTATAAAAGAATACAAAATCTAATATCTTAGCAATAGAACAACTTGAAATACTTTGTGTTTCTCATTAAGAATTACTGGAATTAAAGATTTTATAAGTAGTACATATTTCTGATGGCAAATAATGGACTATCGCAGAGACATAAGGAGTCCTAGATGGATGGAGATCTATGGTTCTTTAAGTTTTAGCGAATTACAAGACATATCATACTAATATTATAAATGCAAAACTTTAGATGGATGGATGTCTGTTAGAATTTGTAGCCTAAACGGACATGTTATGCGACGAAATGATGGGGACATAAACCAGAAAGTGTTGAGATTGAATGTGGATGGCTACAAAGGAAGAGGAAGACCGAAGAAAGTATGGATGGATTGTGTGAAAGAAGATATGCTTAAGAAAGGAGTGGATTCAGATATGACGGCTGATAGAGATGTATGGAAGAGCAGCACATACTGTGCCGACCCTCCATAAGGGGTAAGGGCAAGTGGATGATGATGATGAAACGGCTGAACGGATTTCGATGAAATTTATTATAGATGAAAAGGATAGCCTGGAAGAACACATAGTCTACTTACTTTTCTATTTTTTGATTCCACGTGGACGGAGTCGCAGGAGAAAGCTAGTAAATAATAAAAACAGCAAACATACCTGATACAGTAAAACTGACTTTATCTTTTACGTATCCTGCTCGATCGTAAACAACGAACACATAGTAATTGATGACGTCACCGACTTTAAGTTCCAAGTGGAGATCTTCATACATCCACTTTCCGTCCTTCGGTGATGTCACTTCAGCAGAAATTTCACCAACATCGTTCTGACTTATAGGTTTGTTTATTTTTCCGTTGAAAGCGAATAAACTTAATTTTGTATTATCTGGAAATAAAAGAATATAATGCTTTTTAAAAACAAATTGAGTTCACTTGTTGCTATATAATGGGACATATTAAAACTTATGATTACATTTTAAAGACTTCAATGTTGATGATCAAGGACCTTTTCGTTAAAAAATTAAGGGTCTGTCCCACCACTGGCTGATAGATGCTCAGATAGCTTAAAAATGACGTCACTGTCAGATAAGGAAACAAAATCCGATGTTTCCATCACATATTTTACATATTGGATTGTTATCAGACAATTTACAATTTGGTGGGACAGGCCCTTAGAATGTTTTTTGTAAAGTGTATTTGAATTTGAATCTTAACCTGTTGGTGACAATGAATACATGTATCGAGGTCAGAATTAAGGGATATTTTGACTCTGCTACTCCTATCTGGCAATCTTTGAACATTAACATCATTAGCTGCACATTAAGTGGAGAAAAAATGCTATTGTCACATAAAAGTTGTTGCCAATGTCTTTGTCAAGACCTGGAGAATATCTTTACTTACGTTTTATTAAGATTTACTTTGTTGTTTTTAATTCACAATTTGGTTTCCTATAGCATATTTGTGCATATACACTTAGACGATAATTCTTTGTAACTAATGTAAATTTGTTACTTATTAGCTAAATAATTGTAAATAATATCGGTATGGTTCCAATATTTTCAAGCAATTTCAGATGCTAGTAGTCTCTTTTGTTACATTTTCCTTCTAATAACATGTTTTCATTAAAACCAATAGATACTAAAATTGGAAATAAATACCTGGTATAAATATTCGTACTCCTTTTGGATTTAATGCTTGTATCGTAACTTCGGGGATATTGTATTCGTTTTGTGAACAGACGATTTGTGCCATACATAATAACACAATAACGGAACGTGTTGCCGCCGCGACGGCCATCTTGCTACTGCTTACGTCTCATGTGTGATGACCATACCGACTTTGTGATGGAACTGATATAACTCGGCAGATTCAAACCCATCGCTCGAGTTTTAAACATTTATTTAGCAAGCGGATGCTAGAGCATCCGCTTGCTAAATGCGAATATATTTCGGCCACATCGTCGCTGTAAGGTGGTCAGGGCTGGTTTATTCATAAAAAAAATTTTTTTTTAAATTGAGTAACAGTTATGATATTTGAAGTTGTTGTTTTCTTTTTAAATCTTTTGGTGAATGAACTAGTATGTATACCAAAAAACTTGTAAAGTTTATAACATAAGTTTACGTAGAAAAAACAGGGAGAGTTTTAGTAGTGGGTTTTGACCTGTCGTGTTATAAAAGCAAAGCTAGATAACCTCAAGTTATTCTTGCAATAAATGACGCAGTATCGGGGATTTCTTTTTTTGAGTTCCATGATATTTTATAACATCAAATCTGAGTATTGTAACTGGTTTTTATATTTTTGCAGAATTATTACATTTAATTAAGCTATCAGTTTATTTTTTGTAATAAATTAAATTCTTCGATTTTATTGTTTTTAGTCGTTGGGCGCCAATTCTCCCATTTCTTGTACTCTCTACTTCTTACCTACCCAATATATCCAATAACCCAAGCTTAACAGTTTTTTTTTTATTTTATTGGACAAAATAATAAGCGGTACGGAAACCCACAGGATTTATGTGTAACCACTGGTCGCGTAGTTTATAACATATAAAAAGTAATAAAGAAACAGACTATTTTACTCGTGAAAGAATTTGAAAAAAAATGTTAAAAACCAACATTTATACTTGCTATTCAAGAAAACAATATCAGCTAAATTGCAAATTTTATACAAAGAAATTAATCCGGTGATTACCCTAAGTAAAGGTGTAATTAACAACTTACCGTGAATATTTACACAAATATCAATATTTTATCCCTGTTTGCTATCGGTCGTAGGCATTTATGATGTGCAACATAGATAAAGAAGCAACTTCAAACACAGAACAAGTTTTGTCTTAATCTTATGGATTATTCCCAACCGTCACCCCGCACTGTCCCTACGTGAAGACAGATGAGAATAAAAAGTTTCATCCGTCCCACCGTTTGCGACGTGAGGACGGTTGTAGCTTGTTTCATTTTATAACGTATCCATCTGTTTTATTGGTGCTAGTGGGAATTGAAGGTGGGACAGATGAAACTTTTTATTCTACGGGGTGACGGTTGGGAATAAACGAATCCTAGAATCTTAGAATAAATCCAAGGATCGATCCATTTTATAAATTCAAACGGTATAATGGGTAAAGATTCTATTGGGTCGATCAATAGGTCTATGAACGGGTAACGCCCGTCTTAAACATTATTTACTTTATAAAATCTGTTTTTAATAGAATTTTATCTTCTAAAAACATCATCCAGACATGCGGAACGTAATCAAAAACATTTTCATATCTATATTAATATTATAAAGAGGAAAAGATTTGTATTTTTGTATGCATTGAAATAACTCAAAAACTGGGCCGATTTTTAAATTTCTTTCACCATAAGAAAGGTAATTTATCTGTGTAACATAGACTGTTTTTAATTATTTTTTAACTACACTGGGACGCATTCGCGAGCAATAGCTAGTGAAATTATAATCTTAGTAACGAGTATCTACAAAATCGAACTTCATTGACTTGGGTATTACTGAAACCGTTTGGGAATTCACAACTGTTACATAATAATTTTTAAACTATTGAAATAACGACTTTGTAAGTCATCGCATTGGGTTATCGCGCATTGCTCCACTCCTTGTTTTTGCAGGCCGTATCGTAATTTAATATTTTTACACTCCTCATTTGGGATCGCGTCGTTTATGTTAGTGCTTGGTGGGCGCATAGTGGACCAATGCGCGATAACCTTTATACTGTTTTCTGACAGAGTTTAGAAAATACAGTTGCCAATTAAAAATGCCATGACACTCAGGGGAATTATATGTGTCTTATTAAAATCAGTACTGATAGGCCATAGATTATGATGGACTGAACTAGAATAAGTCCATTAGAGACCAATCAACGATACTACATCAAGTAACAAATCTAAACTATGATAAATCTTAAATAAACCTTTACTTTTCTCAGTGTTGCAGTTAGACATTAATAATGTGATAATAATTATATACTTATTCCAGTAAATAGACGTTTACATAACAATCACCTTAAGTTATCTACTTTTGACCTTTTGTAACTTTAGTTTTATATATTCGCTAAATACAATGTGATTTTATTAAACTTAAGTAGGGATAAATCGTCTCTTTGATTTTTACAGGGCCATTACTTATTTTTTAACTGATTTTCTTGGTACATAAATGATTCTTTTCTATCTCTTTGTGTGTACATCTTAGTATTACATAGCTATCTTCGTTTCGAATTTACCTTTAGGCAACAAAGTAAAGAATAAAACAGAAACACAATTTTGTTAATAAAAATTTATTTTTCTTCGTCTAATAAATCTTGTAATTGATTGATTTTTAAATGACTCGAAAGACCTCAGCTCCGTTCAAGAATCTAGAAAAAGAGATCATAAATTGCATAATCATACTAACACTATAAATGACGATATGACGGCTGATAGAGATGTATAGAAGAGCAGCACATACTGTGCCGACCCTCTATAAGGGATAAGGGCAAGTTGATGATGATGATGATGACCAATATAAATGTGAAAGTATAGATGGATGGATGTTTGTTAGTATGATGTAGTTTGTAGTCTAAAATGCTGAACAGATCTCGATGAAATTTGGTATAGATGTAGAGGATAGTCTGGAAGAACACACGCTTCTCACTTTAGTTTTTAGTTTATTCCACGCGGACGGAGTCGCAGGTAAAAGCTAGTTTGTTACATGAATATTAAAAAATAATGATGGGATTACAAAAACATTTTTATAACGAAAGATGTTTAGGTTATAAAGAAAACAATTCGTAAACATCCACGACCATACAAGGTTAACACACTAGCAGTCAAATCAAAAACGTTCTACAAACTCCTACATTTGTACTACCGATTAGCATATTAAAGGGTAAATATCTAAATACCTTTTACAGTGCAAAAACTCTAACATAATCCACTTTAAGAGTATTAAATTCAGAGTTCCACGTGTGCAGCCATTGGTCGCGGCAGTTCCAGAACTTCAGCATTGCTTTTGGCGATCCGTTAGTCCAGGGTTTGCTGGGAGAGTCTGGAAACTCACGGATGCCACCAACGCTAAGACCAAGCGAGATGTAGAACTAAAAGAAAACATTTTTAAGTCACATCTTGATGGAAAAGACCTGGGAAGAGATGGATTGCGTGAAAGATGACATGATCAAGAAGGGAGTGATGACTGAGATGACGGATGATAGAGTTATTTGCAGGACAAAAACCTGTTGATCCCTACGGGCGTAGAATAAGGAGGAAGATGATCTAACTTGAAAAAAGTCTTTATTTGCAAATCCTGGATACAAGTTCCGGAGTGTATTTAGTTTTTAGATTTTCAAATTTCACATGTAATTCGTAGTTCTTATAATGAAGAACATTGTGATGCAACCTGCAATTGGCGGAGAAATTCAAAGATATGTATGAAGTCAACCTGCTGTGTAGTGTGGTTGACGAGGGCCTAGTCACCCCTCACTTGGGGTAGGCTCTGCGCCCCTCGATGAGGACGTACAGTGTTCTTTGGTCATGTCACTAATAAGAACGATTTTACAATATTTTCTTTCTAAATGGAGATTTCTATCCTTACCAGTTCATCAAATGGAGCCATAACAGTACCCTTCTTCCATTGCGGCGCTGCTGTTACATTGTTATTTTGTCCCTCTTCATAAAATCCTTCCCCTGGTGTCACTTCTCCGTACTGTTCTCCGTCCACGAGAAGAGAAATTCCATCTAGAGATAAAAATTAATTAGTATACGAGCATTTAAATCAAAACTATGTTTTGCACCCTGAAACCTTTACGTTTAATTCAATCAACTAAGACAATACAATACCGTTAAGCTTTGAATTAAGTTAAATAAAATAAATTACTTTGCCAATAAATTTTATATTGTTTATTGCTATACATATACCTGTAACAGCTTTAATAGATAAGCACATTACATTTTTAGACTACAAGGTGGTAAACGAACAAGTAGCCACCTGAATAACGACCGTCGACAGCATCCAATAGACATCCGCAATTGCAAATGCCTACTCTTAATCGACGAAGGAAACGCACATAAACAGGATATTTCCCCTATCTATGGATCTCCACCGCCAAATCCACTTTCCCTTCCCAACCTTCTCTTAGAAAAGGGTCGAAAGGTAAAGGGACTAAAATCAGTTGTAAAACCCTTACCTGGTCGCCATATCATAGTGAAGTTATGGAAGTCTCTGGCCCAGTAGTCACTATTGATCTTCTCTTTCAGATGTGCTGATCTGCATAATTGTTCAACATTTACATTGAGAAACCCTTTCTATTTAATTTTAATAAAAGTATAGTTAATTGATTTCAAAGATACGTACCTATATGGATCAGATTCACACATAATAGGGCCACCGTACAATATCTTGGAGGATTCAAGATTACCCTTAACTGTGGCAATTCGTAACAAGCCAGACGCGTAGTTAGTAAGTCCGTAGACTTTGTCACGTGGCTCCAGTTGTATCTCTAGAAAACGTTAAATAAATAGCAAACAGAACCAGGAGCCAATTATACGTTCGGATTGTCTAACAATCGTCTTATTCTTGGATTACCTTACGTTGTAATGGTTGCTTGTGGAATAATATTCTTAGTGGAAATAAAAATGATGTCATTATTACTTTGAAATATTTACAGAGAACCTTGAAATTCGAAATAAATGTCTAATGGTGGGTTTCTGGAGTTTCCATTTGTTTATTCATTGCTTAGTGACTCATTGGTGGTAGGTTAAACTAAATTTCAAAGGGATAACTCCAGTTACAGAGTTTGGAAACGCAATTCAACAATTTATCGAATCAAAAACACTGACGAATGATTAAACGTAGCTGGGAAACTGGTCATAAATCAAGAACAAAATTAAGAATCTATCTGTATTACGCCTGTTATTAACATTTCTATTTTAAAGTTGTACCAACCAGGTATGAGCCAATGTCCAAACGGCATTCTTGCACGAACTTCGATTTTGCCGTATTTGAAGTTGAATCTACTCTTAGTAGTTATCTTTGCTGTGACGACAGGCGGCAGTATGTGAGGCCCAGATGCTGTGCGTTGACAATCATTGGACCCTAGAACTCCAGTGCATCTACAGATAAAGTGAAAAACTCCCTTAAAATCTACAATCTATCCACATTCGCGAAGCTACCGGCTTTAAAAAAAACAGTGAATTAAAAAAAATCTTACTAATATTATAAAAGGAAAAGTTTGGATAGGAGGATGAATATTTGTTAGAGTTTGTAGCCTAAACTGGTGAACGGATCACGATAAAATTTGGCATAGATGTAATGTAGAGGAATACAAAAGCTATATTCTTTTGTTTTTTAATTCCACGCGAACTAAGTCACGGACTAAAGCTAGTAAGGCTATAAAGGACTACTTATTTTAGATTCGATCATAAAAACATGGTCTACCTAGCTGTAAGATCCAGTGTTTGTCTGACAAAGTCTTCACCGTATTTAGATTCCAACGTGACTGGTGTAATTAGAAGGTGTCCATCTTTAACGCGAACATTATCTTCAGACATATAAACGTTGAAAGGGTAGTCCTGAAATATGAAAATTATAGTAAATATCAAAATAATTGAAAAGCAATAACCAGAACCCTTGCCTTTGACGAAATTATGATAAATATTTGCAGGTTGTCGAATTATCGAATTAATCTCTACTTCTGGTGACTTTCATTATTACCATCATCCAATTAGAAAACAAGAAGTTTTTTTTTCAAGATTCAACTAACGTTCAATTTGTTAATACTTACAGGTTCTCCTGGAAATCTAATTTCATGTTTCCATACTTGTCCTGTTTCGATTTTAGCGTTAAAGTTGTCTTCGAAAAGTAATTGACCTTTACAAACGAAACCTGGCATTGACACCTGTGTTGGGGATAATTCACAAGGTGGCATAGTTGGTGAAGTTGGACGTACAGTAGGGATTGTGTTAGAGTCAGTTGGTACTGGTACTGGCGTTGTCACATCCATTGGGGTACCATTGTCGTTAACAGGAATACCTTCTTCATCCACGAAACCTGCAGATTTTGAGAACATTATTACGTATTGTATAAGTACATGCGGAAATCCGCGGTTTTTTCCCATCAGGATTGCCTAGTTTATTGCAACGAGACAAACTCCGCTTATTCCTAAAAATTATTAATTATATAGCAGTGAATGTGGCCGAAAGGACAATAATAAAAAGTTAACTAGACGAGTATCACTAAAGGATTTTTTTTTATACAGATACATTTATAATCTGCATTGTATCGGTTTTTGTTCCGCGTCTCAAATGTTCAAACTATTATAGCTTTTAAGGTGACTGTAAATTACGGTGTTCTATTATAGTTCTAAATTTGTTAAAAACCTTTACTACTTTTAGGAGTAATATCGGGTTAAAACTGCCGAAAGACCTATCCAAAAATACTACTTTCGTTGTCTTTGAAAAATTAGGTAACAGGTTTTGTATGGGCATCTGAGAAGTTCATAGCAACGTCCAAAGATCTTAGTTAAATTACCTGTGACTGTCCATTCACCATTATCCTGTCTATATCCTAGACCGTTTTTAATCACGTATGTCCAGAAGTATACTTTATCTCCAATTTTCAGCGCTGTTTCTCGATCTCTGAACGTCCATCTTCCGTTTTTCGCCTTCGTTATGTCACGAGACCATTGTCCCGCTTCTAGACCTTCCATCTCCTCATTGAGTTTGCCATGGAAAGCAAATAGACTAAAACCATCGTCTGTAAAATTGTATAAATTTAAATTTACCTGCTTCATAGCGCGCAGATCTTTGACTAAACAATCGCAAAATTCTTTAGTCGCGCTTTGATTCCTAAAATCTCGATAAATACTCGATTTTCAGTTGTGCAACTAAACAGTTGGATTGTGAAAAAAACGACAATCGATAGTGCGATAGTTGAGGTGTGCGCCCGTTCTTAAAAGTCATTGCACATTTCTAAAACAAGCCTGTACTGGTGTTTGAATGTTAAAACATTTTCAAATGTTTTATTTAAAAGGAACCGTTCAAATTTCTATAAGCAACCGTATCTTTTGTCATATAAACGAGTAGCTTCCTTCCTTCAACAAAGATAATGTCAATATTGAATTGTCTCGTTCCAGACAATGTAAATGCTTGATTAAAATCGCTTGGCATTCCATGAAAATGAATCAAGGGACGAATATCTCTGAATATTTAAGGGAAATATTATTTTCACTCTGAGAATTCGTTATTGTTTGAGAATTTATTAAGGTGATTATGTTTTGTTTCTTTTAGAATGGTAATTTGATTGCAAATGTTATTATAAAGGTCCAACAATTGTAATTTCAGAATTAAAAAATTAAATAAAAAAATCTAAATTTCAATCTATCTATACTATTATAATAAAGCGTAAACACACACTTCTTTGTTGCCTAAGATGTGAGCAATAACAACATATTTTTGAATAATTCTTTTTTTAAATAAAAGCCTTACACTTGCGTCATGCTTTAGGCTATATATTTTAACGCCATTAAACTTAGGGGGTAAATATTTTGGATAAAAAGCCTAATGTGGGAAAGAGACCATAAGTTTCTGCTAACATCAAGGAAGCAAGATTGCCATAGTAAGGTAATTGGTATTTTGACATTTAATATTGAGAATTTCACAAATGCAAACAATAAATTTATAATTTCATGCGGGTGAAGCCGCCTGCGAACAGCTAGTAACATTTATAAAAATCTATAAAGAAATTACTACATAATACCGATAAAATAATAATTAAACTAATGTTACACTGTTTTAACATTTTTGCCATACCAGGTGATATTAAAGATGAATAAATCAGATCAAATAAGACTCAAAGTAATTCGTTATGTTTTAACATGTTGACATATGTATCTATTGATGACCTTAGAACTTTAAAACGATCTTGATAGCCCGGAAAATATATATTCAATAGCAATCTAACATATGACGGATTGACCGACGAATCATTTATAGTAATTTAATCGGTGCGACCTTGTCTTTGACCTTTTCAAATTTCGAACGTCCAAAAAACAAAGATGTACAAACCTGGAACGGAAACTCTTAACCCTTTGGGATATATCGCTTCTAGTTTAGCTGGTGGCACTTCATAACAATTTATAACAGTAACAAATAAACACATTAAAAGATTAACTAAATAAGCCATTTTTAAACTGTCCACATTTATGAGGAAAAAAAAAATATTTTGTTTAAAGCTGACCAAGAGTCGCACGTTTATATTGAACACAGTTTAAGAAGCGACTAAAACAAGTTTGTGCCACAGATTATATATTTGCGTACAAAGCGGTGAAAAAAACCAGTACTACAATAAACTAGTCGCACAGTATGCTAAGGTAATTGTATCTCGATGAATGACGAACGCAAAGTCATACAGGAAAACAGAACTTTGTATATCTTGTTAAATACAATTAATTCATTTGTACACGATTTTTGTGCTGCAAGGTACAAATTGATTACGTCATCAATTATAACTCACTAGACAAAGGGGTAGGTAGAGATAACGGATTTTCATTGTCCTGTTTTGTCACACCCTTGTCATCTCCACATAGTTTACAAAAGTGGAGATTTTTATGGGAAAAAATTCTGTGTTCAGGATTTTTCGAGCAAATCAAAAAATTTTTTTTTATTTACTAGTTAGATAACTCTGACTTAGCAATGCTGACGGTAATAGTAAAAAAATATATACCTAAATAACCGAACCTAGCCTTACCTTTGTAAAAAAACGCGACATATTTTTAGGTGTTCTAGAAAATGAATTTGAAAAACAGCAAATTCGTTACGATCATTAAAAAATAAAGATTTTTTTCTTATTATTAATATCTATTATAATAACATCTTGATAGCCTTGAGTCCGGTTCTGCGGAAAAACCAACAAAGTCTTCGACTTCAATATGCTTGATTACGTTTGTTTAGAAAAAAAAAAACATAACAAGCGTCCTTGTCTATACTAATATTATAAAGAGGAAAGGTTTGTAATTTTGTATGTATTGAAATAACTCAAACTGGGTCGATTTTAAAAATTCTTTCACCGTTACAAAGGATATTTATCTGTAAGTAACAAAGGCTATATATTTTTTTTTAATTTAACGCAGACGAAGTCTATCATATTATAAATATGAAAGTTTAGATGGATGGATGGATGTTTGTTAGCGTTTGTAGCCTAAGTGGCAGAACGGATTTCGGTGCAAATGGCATAGATGTAGAGGATAGTATGGAAGAACACATAGGCTACTTACTTTTGTTTTTTTTTTAAATTCCACGCGAACGGAGTCTCGGGTTAAAACTAGTTGATTATTAATTACTAAACTTCTAGCTTGCTATTCTTTATACAGATTTATTATAATGAATTTTGTAGTTGATAAGCCTCATTTTATTCTAGGTATCTTTTGTATTTGAGTATTAAGTGTTAAATAAACTTTTGAATTATTTACTTTAGTACGTAATTTTATCATCAATTAGTGAGCTTTTGATCGTTTAAATTCCTTGGCGTACTGATATTTCCATCACATATCTTATACGTAGGATTGCTATGTGACATTTTACAAGAATGAAAGTAAGGGGGACAGCCCCTTACTCTCTTAAAATATTAAAACAATATGTTAATTTATTTAAAAAAAAGCTTTAATATTTGCAATAAATATCATAAAAGCAATCAAAAACCGAGATAAAACCTTCGACCTACTTTATTGAGACTTTTAAGACAATATCACAACAAATAAAGGCATTTAAAAAATACGATCAAAGCCATTCATAGGTGATCCCTAAAATGTCTGTAATAATAAAACTTGTACTACAAAGCGTAAACGCGTACATAATCCACACTTAATGTACTCTTAGAAGTCCATGTTGGGATCCACGTGTTGCGAGAGTTCCAGAAATCCAGCGTAGCTTTGTTTGAAGAGTTCTCCCACGGCTTTGTCGGGGAGTCATTAAATTCATTAACACCGCCAACATCCATCCCTATTGATATATAAAACTGAAAATATCAAATAAATTGTTTACTAAATCATTTTCACGTAAACACCCTAATCTACAAAAGATCATTAATTTGTTGACCGACTTCCCAAAAGAAGGAGGTACTCAATTCGTCTGTATGTTTTTTTTAAGTGTTACAGCATAACTCCGCCACTAGTGGACCGATTTTGATAATTCTTTTTTTATCCGAAAGGTAACACTTGCAGGTGGGTCCCATTTTTTTGTTTGATTCTTGAATTCAAAGACTACGACGTAGTTAAATAGTTCAAAATCTAAACTTTCGCATTTATATTAATAAAATTGAACAAATATATCTTACCATTTCATCCAGTGGAGCCATACTACCTCCATTATACAGTTTTGTTGAAAGAGCTTCAGCCGTTATTCTTCCATAATTTTCTCCATCAACATACAAAAGAATGTTATCTGCAAAGTTTGTGCTTTTAACTATTTTGAGGAGTAAATTTCTACATATTGAACATTGGCTCGTGCGTCGGTGGCTCAGGTAAGCACTTGACTTGTAATCTATACGTCCTGAGTTCGAATCCTGCTATGTACCAATGTTCAATTTTCTAATTTTATATATACATAATTTATCCTATTTTCTTATGGTGAAAGAAAACGTGATGCCTGCATATATCGGCGAAGAAATTCAAAGATATGTAAGTCAACCCACAGTTCAGTGTAGTCGACTATGGCCTAGTCACCCCTAAGAGTGTAGGCTTGGAGCTCTTCAGTGGGGATGTATAGGTGTTGATGATGAAGACAAGTAAGTAAATTATTCTTGTTGCTTAACTAAAATAAAAACTACAGTTATTTATACTGTTTAGAACTGAATATCCTTTTCTTATTAACCTACCTGGAGTCCATACCAATGTATAATTATGAAAATATTTGCTCCATTGTTGGTTACTTTGTTTTTGTCGTAAATATTCACTTCTGCAAACAAAATATCAATCTCTTCGTTACATTTTATATCATACTTCATACTAATATTATAAATGCGAAAGTTTAGATGGATGGATGGATGTTTGTTAGAGTTTGTAGCCTAAACGGTTGAACGGATTTCGATGAAATTTGGTATAGATGTAGGGGATAGTCTGGAAGAACACAAAGGCTTGCGTTTGTTTTTTTTTTTTAATTTCACACGGATGGAATCGCGGACGAAACCTAGTCTTTAATTAATGTATCCACAGTAAGAATATGATAAAATATTTATTTCATATCTAAAACATTTTATCCGAAGTAACATCTCTTTTACTTAGAACGAATATTTTTATATACACATATTACATTTATAAAATTATCGCTGAAATATCTCAAGGATCTTTCATCAGTTACCTCAATGGCTCGGATTTGGTAACGATGGGACCTCCGTACAGTTTCCTAGACATCTCCAAGTTGCCCTTCACGCAAGCGACACGCATCAAACCTGACTCGTAGTCCATCGACCCGTAAATGTTGTCACGTGGCTCCAGTTGTATCACTTCATGACAAAATATACATTTACATATCTACAGATAGCGTGTTCTACACAATTCCTCAATCTAGAAGTTTGAGACAATCCAATAGATTGGAATGAGAACGGGAAAATTATACAAGCGAGAATTTCTTGTATTAACTATATATGTTTATATATTTTTTGTATAGTAAAAGAATCCGGTTTAATGGTAAACCGACCGCTGCCCATAGACATCCGCAATTGCAGATTCGTTGCCTACCCTTAATTGACGGAGGTGACTCATATAAAAAGAATATTTCCCATTCTTATACGTCACGTCCACCACCGAATCCAGTTTCCCTTCTCAACCTTTCCTTATAAGAAAAGGGTGGGAAGGGAAAGGGATAAAATAAAATGCTCAAAGTCAACAGATGAAATGCAGAATTGCTTCCACTTCACGCATGTCTTCTGTTTAGTCGTGGTATTGGGGGCGAGCCATTCGTACTAAGATGTTAAAGCAGGCTCTACCACTAGTAAAACTAATTAAATGGACCATTCATTACACAGATTGATCTGATAATACAATACAATAATTAATTAAATAATACTAACGAGGTATCAGCCAATCTCCTAACGGCATTTTAGCTCTAACTTCTATCCTTCCATATTTAAAACTAAAAGACCTTTTAGTTGTTATCTTAGCAGTGATAATTGGCGGCAGAATTTGAGGTCCAAATGCTTCGAAATTACATTCTTCATACGTTGTTCCAGTACAACTGTGGATAATGACAATAATTTAGTTAGTAATATCACTAGTAACATCTTCAATATGTGTAAAAACGTATAGGAATAAATACGTAACTTTTTGTATAATAAAGGGGGCAAACGAGGGGCGAGAACACCGAGGTGGTCAACGCCCAGACATCCGCAACACAAGAGGAACTACGGCGTTGCCGGCCTTAAGTGATTTATCGGCAGCCATTTCAATACAATGTAAATTTTATAATTCTTACCTATGACTTAAGGACAGGGAGCTTCTAAGAAAATCATTACCGTACTTTGAAGTCAGGGTTTTTGGACTAATCAAAAGTTTACCATCTCTCACTTCAGCCGTATCTTCGTATAAATTGAATGGATAATCCTGAAAATTTTAAAAAGAATTAGTAGCCCGTAACGTCTGTTTATGAATCATCATCATCTTCTGCACCATCGCATCATCGTCGGCGCACCAGGTTTTCGTTCTCCAAATAACACTATCATCCGTCATCTCAGTCATCACTCCTTTCTTGAACGTCTGTTTATGAATAAAACGTGACAACTTTACAAGTTGTGAGCATAGATAGTGTCTCTCAATCGCTTGTTTTGCGCTCTTGCTTGCGACAATAAGTCGATAAAATATTACGACAAAATTTAGGATAGTATTGACCTACAAGGATCTTATGGCACTTTATTTAAGTGACAAAGGGCGCCTGTTAGGTTTCAGTTACCAGGAAGCAAAAAATTCATAACTTTTTTCTAAATTCTCCCATGTTGCAAACCAAACCACAATATATACAAGTGAGTTGCAAATTATGAACAGAATGCATAGTATTTGTTTACTATATAAATTGTTACATCTTCACAAATTGATACAGTTGGAGGATTTTTCAACCAATAAAAAGGTGACATTGTTAGTCCTTAAATATGTCAATGTCATGAGATCCTTGGAAGTCTATACTCGATTCGATTTTTATTAAGAAAATGTTTTACAAACCGGTTGTAAAGGTATCTTAACTTCTGGTGTCCATATCTGTCCGTCCTGGAGTGTGCTGCTGAAATTGTCTTCGAATAACAGTTGACCTTTGCAGACGAATCCGGGCGCGGATGTTTTAGATGGAGACGGTTGACAGGAACCATAATTGTAGTTAGGCGTTGGCTGTGGCTGTGGCTGTGGTTGTTGATCTAAATCACATGAACCAAAAATAATATTAATAAACATCCCACAATACAAAAACATGAGACAATAGGTAAATAAACCGTATGGTGATCCCGTTTTGATATCTGTTAGTCTACCATAAAGAGGCCCATAGTAGAATACTGAAGAAACTAGCGTAAAGTATAAGTAACAAGGGAATTCAGATATAAGGGCTTAAGATGTCTGCAAGAGTTCTTACTTTGTCGTCTCGGTAGGGAAAGTCCTGTACTTTGATAGTAACAATTAAATTTAAATACAAGGAATAAATGAGTTATTAAATCTGAATCTTACTAATAATAAAAATGCGGAAGTTTAGATGGATGGATGTTAGAGTTTTTAACCTAAACTGTTGAACGGAACTCCATGAAATTTAGCATAAATGTAGAGGACAGTCTGAACACATAGGCTACTTTTTTATTACACACGGACAGAGTCGCGGGTGAAAGCTAGTATAATATAGTGCTTTTGCTTGGTTTTTTAGTCTCACCACTTCTAGGTACATTGTTAGGGAAAGGTGACATGATCAAGAAGTGATGACTGAGATGACGTATGATAGAGTTATGTAGAGACAAAAATCTGTTGCACCGACCCTACGGGACTAGGATAACGACGAAGATGATGGTTATTATATAGAATTTGTATAATACAAAACATACCTCCAGACGGTATAAATGTATTAATTATGCTCTCGACCAATGTTGGTGACTCAGGTTCTAAAAATACAGAAGTAAATTTAGTTAAATGTCACTATTTTTAAGTCCAAAATTAATAATAACTACTATATTTAAAAACGAACTTCGATAGGGCTTTGGATCACCCGTTATGCCATTTTGACAGCGCGTAATTATTAAAACTATTCCTATAATGTGCCCGTCTATGTCAGCTACCCTTCAGTGAAAGTCCGGTCGAAATCGGTCAAAATTTCGAACATTACCCGGAACAAACGCGGCTTGCGGACAGACAGACAAAATTTTTTAAAATCGATTTTCGTTGTCAGCAATGCAGTTATATCATCTTCCCGAAATCTGTAATTTTTCTTTTGACATTACAAACAGACACTCCAATTTTATTATATGTATAGATTTACACATATCATTAAATTTGAATAAGAAAATAATTGTTGTAAGTTTTAAATAGTTTTGCCAGAAAATTATTTAACTTTAATGCAGACTTAGTTTTAAATTCATTTAATAAATGTTTTAATCTATCTATACTATTATAATAAAGCGTAAACACACACTTCTTTCTTGCCTAAGATGTCAGCAATCACAGCATATTTTCGAATAAAACTTTTTTTTATTGATAAGCCCTACACTTACGTCACGCTTTAGGCTATACATTTAGAGGTAAATATTTTGGATAAAAACCCTAATGTGAGAAAGAGACCATAAGTTGCTGCCAACATCAAAGAAGCAAAGTTTATCAACATGGTTTGTTATAATGTCATGTCATTTTGACATTTGCAATTGATAATTTGACACATGTAAACAACAAAATAAGTTTTTCTTAATTTTATGCGAATGAAGTCGCACGGGGACAGCTAGTTAAAATAATGACACTTACCAAAAATACGTCGTTTAAATCTTGAGACTGAAGCATTTCCATTCACAGAAACAAATAAAACAAGAAAATACGTGATGAATATTATATTACGATACATTGTCTCGTGTCACTTCTCAAACAGTTATTGTATCCAAATAATTTAAAAACGTTTAAATAATACCAATTACAGATAATAGTAGAAACAATTAAGATTTTATTCTAAAGACAGGTTTATATTTGAAAATTAATATTTTCTTAGATAAATATTGTAGTATATAATTGCATACTAATTGCTCATACTATTAAGTAAAATTTCATATATCTTTATTTCTTATTCTTTATATAATACATTTTACAAGATTTAATATAAAAATAAAACAAAAAATAGAGCACCACCGGCTGCGGAATCCGATGACTCAAGACTCAGGGCTGCAGAGACAGGAACCTCCACACTATGCGTGCGGTTTCTAAAATAACCGCCTTTTGTATCGGGCCCTTAATCCAACTGTCTAGCGAGAGCTTCTTGAGGTGTTGGTTGAAGCTCTTCGCTATCAGCCCGTGTGCCGAAACGACTATCGGAATAATGGTAGTCGATTTCATACGCCATAAGTAAAATTATTTATTTAACGGAGATACAATTGAATATATATTTCTTAGTGAAAATGAGGCCTTATTTCTCGACAATATAAAACATGTCTGTAAATTATTTGCAAACAAAGATATTCAAAAAGATACAGAGTCGACATAGACACTTCACTTGAAACATTTTTCACATTTTATTATATTATCTATCGATATCGAGATTCGTTCAGCCGTTTACGCTACAAACTCCAACATCCATCCATCCATCTTAACTTTCGCATTAATGCCGTTTAATTATTTTTTCCAACAATAGATGGAACTTAGTATGATTTTGTAAAATGTTTCATTACACGAGGTGACACTAAACTTGATAACCGACAAAGTACCCGAGATAAAAAATTGTTCTCTGTCTTGTCTATATATTATTTAAATGTCTTGCATTGTCAGGCACCTTGGACTAAACAATCGCACAACTGTTGTGCGATTGTCGATTGTTTTGCAGCCTTCTACTGTTTAATTCTACAAATCTCACAAGAAAATCGAGTAAAATCACAGCAAGACTAAACAGTTGTGCGATAGTTTAGTCAAATGTGTGCGAACGCTCTTTTTTATTTAAGTATAGCGTTACAAAGCATAAACTCTAACGTAATCAATTTTCATGTCAGCGTCATACCAAGTAGGGAACCAGACATCTTTGGCATTCCAAAAGTCAAACATTGCTTTCCTGCCGCCATTCTTCCAAGGTTTCTCAACGTCTGTGCCATCTTCAAAATCGTTAATGCCACCAACACGAAGACCAAGGGACAAATAAAACTGTAATAACATTAGTTAATATGATAATTATTTAAAAGCTAGCCAAAAATAAAACAGTTTTAGTGGACGTGGTTTTTTAAAATGACCACTAGGTTTTAGTAGAAGTTAATTTACATGCAATCTGAAAATCGCTAGTAAACAATCTTACTATACAAGTATCTTACTAATATTATAAATGCGAAAGTTTAGATGGATGTTTGTTAGAGTTTGTAACCCAAACGACTGAACAGATCTCGATGAAATTTGACATAGACGCAGAGGATAGTCTGGAAGAACACATAGGCTACTCACTTTTGTTTTTTTTTTTTTAATTCCACGCGGACGTAGTCGCGGGCGAAAGCTAGTCTCACAATAATTGATTATAATAGTTGTTTTCGTCCGAGACCCCATCCGCGTGTGATTAATAAAAAAACATTCGCATTTATAACATCAGTATAATGAAGGGTTCAGAAAGAATTAATAAACAAGCGGACACAGGAAAACTGTAATGTATGCTAAAAGCCCGCTACTCATGTTCAGATTTATCTGACAGTTTTATCTGAACGGCCGCATCGTTCAGATAAAACTATGTGCTTACTAGTGTGTGTATACAAAATAAAATTTCTTCTTAGTGACAATTTTACCCTTCAATATTTTGTCAACTGTGTAATTAAATGTATAATGTTTGCCTCTGAATGGTTTAAATAAATTTATTATTATGAAACTGTCAGGTAACACTGATAGTGTGTGTGTGTAATGTGGGCTTAAGCTAGACACTTGCCACTAACAATATTCAGTTGCCGCATTAAAAGCACGTTAAAACAATTACCATTTGATCCAAAGGTGCCAAAACTGTCCCTTGTATCCAATGCCACGCTTGTGTGACACCTTTCTGACTTGCCGTGTTGTAGAAACCTTCGCCAGGGTCCACTGTACCGTACATATCTCCATCCACGTAAAACTCCAAACGATCTAAATCATACTAATGTTTAGATGGATGGATGTTTGTTATAGTTTGTAGCCTAAACAGCTGAACGAATTTAAATGAAACTTGGTATGGTATATGGTAGTGTTTCTGGAAGAACACATAGGCTACTCAATTTTGTTTCTATTAATTCCACGCGAACGGAGTCGCGGGTGGAAGCTAGTTATTTAATATTACAAACTAATATATAAACGTGTATGTCCGTGCGGAAATAAAGTTTAATTGATTTAGGGGCTGTCCCACCACTGACTGATAGGTTCAGATAGCCTAAATTACGACACTGTCAGATAAAGTAACGAAATCCGATATTTCCATCGCATATTTTACAAGTTGGATTGTTAGACAATTTACAATATGGTGGGACAGGTCCTAAACTTTTAAGAGACAATAAGGGAATTATTCTAAGGATAACACAGAAATTGACAGACACTAGGCACAGATAGATTGCTATTCCAAATAGAAATCAATAAAATCCAAATTGTATTAAGATCATTTAGAAGTTCTGAAGATACTTGCTATCCATCCCTTAACCCTTAAATACACGATTTTTTTGTCTTAATTACCATAAATAGAAACGGGTAGTTAATTGAACATAGATTAAGGGAAACATGAAGAAAAAAAAATTCAAAATAGTCTATTGCGTAAGAAAGAGAAGACTGATGTATAAATGCATTATCATGCATTTAAGATCAAACTTTAGTCCTATCTTAGTATGTTGGTACATTACCTGGTTTCCAAACGAAGCTGTAATTATGGAAATCTCTATTCCAGTTGCTTATCCCTATTTTACTTTTCATATTATAAGATCTGTAAGGTTCCAAGTCGGACAAAATCGGTCCTCCGTTTAACTTTTTAGCATAAATCGCATTGCCTTTTGCAAACGCTATTCTTATGAGACCGGATACATAGTTTGTTTTACCATAAGTATTATCTCGGGGCTCTAAGTTTATTTCTGAAAATAAAACGCATAATTTATTATACACTCAAGCAATCTTACTAATATTATAATTGCTAAAGTTTATATGGAAGTTTGTTAGAGTTTGTAGCCTAAACGGTTGAAGGGATCTCGATGAAATTTGGCATAGATGTAGAGGATAGTCTGGAACACATTGGCTTCTCACTTTTTTTAATTCCATGCGAACGGAGTCGCTGGTGAAAGCTAGTTTCACTAATAATACAAACTATGTAATCTTACCTGGTACAAGCCAACTTCCAGTCGGTAGTTTCGCGCGAATTTCAACTCTACCGTATTTGAAATTAAACTTATTTTTGCTTGTTATTTTTCCTGTTGCAACTGGAGGCAGGATTTGCGCACCGGACGCTGTTCGAGAACATTCCCACGTGCCGATCATACCTGTGCAGCTGAAATTAATAATTCACAACAGTTATATACTATATTAAAATTATAATGAGGAAATTAATATGAAAATAATTCAATACAAAAATCAAAAACTATTGGGCCGATTACAAAAAATACTGTTTTTACCGCGGACGAAGATACGAACAACCGCTAGTCTATACTAATATTATAACGAGGAAAGATTCGTGTTTTTGTATTTTTGTATCTATTGGAATAACTCAAAAACTACTGGGCCGATTTTAAAAAATATTTAACCGTTATGAAAGGCAAAAAGAAAAAAATAAGTACAAACTAACATTTAGAATCTATTAATATTCTATTACAATATTTTTAATGTATGTAAAATAATCGTTTTAATTAAATTAATACTAACGTCCGAATATTGAAACGACATTTTTATCTTAAATGATAGTCAATGCTTAAAAAAACAAATATAGCCTATGTGTTTTTCATAGAGATCGGTTCAGCAGTTTAAGATACATACTCTTACAAACATCCATCTAAACTTTTTCATTTATAATATTAGTAAGATTTTATGTTACGTTCAATATTAAAAGCTATACTTACGTGTTAGTCAGGTCTAAAGCACCATTTAAAAATCCTGGATGATATTTCGTCTCCAAAAGTACTGGAGAAATTATTAGCATTCCATTTTCGAGCCGCAGCGTCCCATCAGCAAGATACACGTTGAAAGGATAATCCTGAAACAATTGGGTTTATGGCAGTAAAGTAAAGTAGGGCTCAAAGTAGCGCTGGCATATATGGCGTAAAGTCAACACTAACTGGCGCCAGTGAGCCCAAAGTCCATGCCAGGCCTACACGGTCCAACTGTATTGACCAATTGTAAACCAGGCATTATGTAATGCCCATAGAAGTAACTTTAACACACAAGAACGTGCATGAATTGAAGATATGACGTTAAAGTATTTGGCATGCTTATCCGTGTCTGAAATAAACAATTTAAAGCCCACTACACACCTTCTGTTTTATTTGAACAGTCGGTTTGTTCAGATAAGTCTAACGTGTATGGGCAATGCTGAGAACTGAAGAGTTTCTACATACGTTATATTTATCCGAACGAACCGATCGTTCAGATAAAACTGTCAGATAACACTGAACGCGCTCGGCTAAGATTGTAGTGTCTTAATGCAGGTCAGTCACATTTTTTTATTACCTTTCAGAGCAAAGGGGCGTATACCTATTGAACTCTTGTTAGTTTATTGGCATTTACGTATTGAAGAAACTCGGATATAACATAAGAAAATGTTATCATATTTTAATGAGTAATTATAACTAACGGCACTGGACGTATTATATCAAGTAATTGAGCTGCAAATTATGACCATTATTACTTATTATTTTCCATTCTGTACTCTGGTTTTACCAGTCTTACTTGTAAACAATAAACATAGATAAAACAATTAAATGAGTTTAGAGTATTTTACTATTAAAATAAAACTTATATTATTAACAAATGGTAATCTGAACTGTGAAGCGACTCGTAAATAGCAAGAACCAAAAAAATATAAAACGGTATTATAATATTATTTAAACGTTTAATACCGCTTACTAAATTCTAAATTTGAATTTTGTAGCACGTTTCGAAGTGCCTTGGAATTATGATAAAACTATAATTTTATCGTAATTTTTTTCAACAAGCTATAATTAGTACACTATTAGGAATAATCAAAAGATATGCCAAAATGACGAATATATGTTTGGTGATGTTCAAAATTTCATCCTTCTTTTTCCACAACAAAGTTACTGGTACCAAAAGTGTCTTAAACCACTTCAAGAAAAGCCTCGGCGTGTCCATTGTGCATCCCAAAAAATGATATTTCTTAGAAAATTTAACTGGAAAAAGATGGATGGATTGAGTGAAGTAACATGAACATGAAGGGATTAATGACTGAGATGTCAGATGATAGAGTTATTTGGAGGGCAAAAACCCTGTGCACCGACCCTACGAGATTAGTATAAGGTAGAGAAGAAGATGATGTACTAACCGGTTCCTGTGGAAACATCACTTCGGGCAGCCAATTTGATAAATCTTTGATATTATTCTTATCAAATTCCTCATTGAAGAGTAGATCACCTCGACAGATGCGACCCCGTCCTAGCACCGCGGTTAGAGACTGCTGGCATGTGGGAGTTGGCACTGTTACCGATGAAGGTATAAAACTAACTGTACTTGTGGGTGGAGGTAAGTTATTTGTGTTCACAGGTGTACCATCTTCATTCACGAACTCTGAAAAATTAAAAATTAATGCTGGCTTTCCGATGTTTCCGTTTATTTTATCGTTACCGAGTTGTATCATTAGTGTTAGTTTGATCTAACTTACAGCGGAGGCGAACTCAAGTTACGTAATATCATACTAATGGATGGATGGATGTTTGTTAGAGTTTGTAGCCTAAACGGCTGAACGGATTACAATGATTTTTTGGTATAGATGTAGAAGATAGTCTGGAAGAACACATAGGCTATTCACTTTTGTTTTTTTTAATACCACGCGGACGTAGTCGCGAGCGAAAGCTAGTAGATCATAATTTAAAAATGTTTTATGTAGCTATTTCAAATAAATTAACAGATCAAGTTTACATAATGTTTTTTAACTGGAATGGTGAATCATTGAAAATGACAAATACTTCTTTTAGTATAATATAAAAAGTATAAGGATGCTGTTTGTTATCTGTCTTCTGGGAAGATTATGCATTGTTTGTTCAAATTGTTAGTATTACACGAAACGTATGACTACAAGTTTTTATAGCGCTAAATGTGGACGTAAAAATGTTATGTACATAAGTATTTCCGATAAATTTCACTTATCATTTTGTAGCAATAGATGGGGAAAACCATTATAAGAAAAATGTATAAATTCCAGACAAAGCATTTATCTTAAAGATTACCTGGATATGAATAGCTAAAGTGTATTTGAAATAAACACCATTTAATTATGGGAGTCGCTTAATGATAGATTACGCTCGTAAAGTTCTTGGTTGACAAACCAGGAAAATTCCTACTAATCTTTTTAAAACATCACTCCATCACTTACCAGTAACAGTCCATTCTCCATTATCTTGTCTATAACCTAGACCGTTCTTTATAACGTAAGTCCAGAAGTAGATTTTATCTCCTAGTTTTAGTTCAGCATTCCTGTCTCTAAATGTCCATCTGCCATTCTTAACTTTGGTTATATCTCTAGCCCATTGTCCTGCCTCCAAACCTTCCATTTCCACGTTCAGGTTCCCGTGAAAGGCGAACAGTGTGAAACCATCGTCTGGAATATTAAACATTGCTTTAAATTTTCACCTTTTTATATTTATGTTGCCACTATTTAAGTGGGATACGGAGATGATGAGATTTTCTCTATGTGTTAAAGAAAGACTACTAATGTTTTTTTAATTTCGTAACGAAACATACGTATTTCTCTTGTTTCTAAGTTTTAAATGGTGTTTGATTAAAAAAAAGATTTCGGTTATTTCAATAAAAATCTCTGTGTTAAAAACATTTAGTATACCTGTATATATGATATTCTTAAATAACTTGATTACAGCATTTTTAAAACCAGTTCAATTAAGTCTTGGCAAAAGGGATAAAAGCGTAGATGATATCGTCGGGTCAATATTATATTTTTTTCCTCTTACAGTATTTTTTCAATCTTAAGCATAAATTATCGGATTATTATACAGCTGACCATCTAAATATTTCGCCGTTATTTTATATTGAAATATCAGTCTAATTTTGTTGTCGCTTAACGATTTGGGGAAATCAAACATCAAGAATATTTTATAGAAAAGAGAACTATTTAATTAACAAAGTAAACATATCTATAAAATGGTTATTTATTTCATAATATCTGGATAATAAATAAATAACTAAGCTACCAACTTCTTACCAATTGTTTTCTGGTAGTAATCATTATAAACAAAGTTGTAAAAATCTACACCAGTGTAAGATGCAGTAAATAAGTGACAAAGCAACTATAATATGTATCTCATTTTATTGAAACAAATTAATTAAATAGGAAACAGTTACCTGGAATTGAAACTCTCAGTCCTCTAGGATATATCGCTTCTAGCTTTGCAGGTGGAACTGTATATGCTTCGACTAAACAAAAACTGGACGTAAACAATGCTATCAGTGCACGAGCAATGTAATTCCCCGCCATGACGTCCGCACTCCGCCACGACATACCACGGACTGACCACATACAATCATTTAGCAATGCTTAATGCCACTTGACACTTGTCCAGTGCAGTCAGTAGCGCTTACTAACTGTACTGGAAAACTAATATGATGTGAACACTAAATGGCGCCATAAAATTTATACCTGGCCAAGTGTGAACCAGGCGCAACCGAAGACGAGGAAAATGTTTCAGAAAATTATCTTGGATTGTTCAAGTTATGCAAGGAAATTAAAACAACTAAGTAATAGAGCCGTTTCATATGGAAGTGTCATCTGTAGGATCCCTTAACGTGATGCAAGAAATGACACGGACTGTAACGTGAAGTTTCCATACTTAGGGCTTGTCCCACTACTGACTGATAGAGGCTAAGATAGCTTAAAAATGACACTCCCAGATAAGGTAATAAAATGTGATATTTCCAACACATGTTTTACATTTTTTATTACACAATTTACAATTTGGTAGGACAGGCCCTTAGTAGTTACCTCAATATCAATCAGGAATTATATTTTTATATGAGAAGGAAGTAAAGGGATTGTGAACACAGATGGACTACGGATGCGTTAACGACCTTTAAAAGTGTAGACTAAAACTACAATCTCGTAATTAATCATATTCACAGAAGCTGTTATTTGTTAAAATGTTATTTGATGAGAAAAAAAGACGAGGAATACTTAAAACCTTTTAATTCTTAAAACATTTACCTTTAGCTTAACATTTATCCAGATATTAACAAGCAAACGGATACCTGATATCGCTGAAATAGCGAAATAGTTGCTTATAGATATCTCCAACAAGTAAAGAGGTAGTCAACTCTTACCTTAAATGGCAAACTAAAGCCTCTACCACTGTTATGCTATGTTTCTGAAGTTTTGCTTTTTTCTTCGTTAACTAAGTCATTTATTAATGTTAGGTTGACTTAAGTTTCAATAGGATTAAACTCGAGTTACGTAGTTCAGAAACGCAATTCATGAAGTTATCGACTCAAAAACACTAACGACTTTAAGGGTCTGTCCCACTACTGGCAGATAGAGACACAGGTAGCTTAAAAATGACGTTACTGTCAGATAAGGGAACAAAATCCGATATTTTCATCACATATTTTACACGTTTGATTGTTATCAGACAATTTACAATTTAGTGGGACAGGCCCTTAGTATTTTTGATCGACTTCCCAAAAGAAGGAGGAACTCAGTTCGTCTGTATGTTTTTTTTTTTATTTTATTTCCTATACTTTGGTATACCTCTTGTTAGAGGTCGTCATAATCGTGTCAAAGTGCGTATACTCTGACATAATCTATTTTCAAGTCTGCGTTAGACCAGGTCTCAATCCAATAATTCTTCGCCAACCAGAAGTTGAGCATGGCTTTGCGCGCTCCGTTCTTCCACGGCTTGAAATATACGTCTTCAAAATCATTGATGCCGCCCACACGAAGACCAAAGCTCACGTAGAACTGAAAAAGAACACTCACACTAATACACTCAAGAGCATTGAATCTAGGTCACTTAAAAAGTCCTAAATCTAAGAATGATTACGCTGGATTGATGAAGTTTCTATTTAATCAGAATCTAGTGATTAATTTGAATTAGGTTGACCTATGATTCAGCGTACAAGTTACGTAGTTCGGAAACGCATTTTATCGAACCGAAAACACTAATGAATGGTTAAATGAGCTGAGAAACCAAACATTAATGAAATACATCTTACTTCTTACTAATATTATAAATACGAAAGTTTAGATGGATAGATATTTGTTAGAGTTTGCAGCCTAAACTGTTGAATGGATTTCGATGAAATTTGGCATAGATAGTGGATAGTCTGGAAGAACACATAGGCTACTTACTTTTGTTTTTTAAAACCACGCGGACAGAGTCGCGGCTGAAAGCTAGTAAAATGTAAGTTAGGGTGTACATAATATCTACCATTGTATCGAGCGGAGCCATAACAGTTCCCTGAGTCCAGTGACTAGCATGGGTGACCCCATTCTGACTCGCACTGATATGAAACCCTTGACCAGGGTCTACGGTACCATACATTTCGCCGTCCACATAAAACTCCATGCCATCTGAAACAGAGGTACTTATCTTCTACCAATGTTAAAATATATTTTTTGTATTTAAAGACTATTCTAAGTTTTCACAATCGCTCCTATTTTCGATTTATTTTAAAGTGTGTTAAAAACTGTTAATTTTTAATCGCCAGGAGAGCAAAGACATACGTTCAATATAGAATCCAACCTCTGATTGACAATTTCGTATACAGCCAAAGAGGTGGCATACTGGCCACCAAGACTTTTGCCTTTTTAATTATAAAAAAGTTGCAGTGAAAACAAGAGAAGCGCGACAATTGTAAAATAGCAAGATGTGATTGATATATTAGAGCTGGCACACGTTTAAAAAAACTATCGAACAACCGTGTGCGATTGTCGATTGTTTCGTAATTCAACTGTTTAGTTGCACAACTAAAAATCGAGTAGTGCACCTCCATACATGCTCATAGGAATTAAAGCGATATAAAACAGTTGTGCGATAGTTTAGTTTCGGGTTTACCCACGCTCATAAAGTAATAATATTGTAAATCTATATTCTATATTATTATAACAAAGCGTAAACACACTTCTTTGTTGCCTAAGATGTCAGTAATTACAGCATATTTTTCAATAATTCTTTTTTTAATAAAAAGCGCTACACTTACGTCATGCTTTAGGCTATATTTTCACGCCATTAAACTACGGGGGTAATTATTTTGGACAAAAACCCTAATGTGGTAAAGAGACCATAAGTTGCTGCCAACATCAAGGAAGCAAGGTCGCTATGCTTTGTCATCATGTCATGTCATTTTGACACTTGTAATTAAGAATTTGACAAATGTAAACAATATAATAATGTTTTATAATTTCATGCAGATGAAGCCGCATGGGAACAGCTAGTATTTATATAATTTAATAAAAGTTTTTGACTTAAAAATGTATTTTCGACTTCCGCGCTGTCGGTTACAAGTTAAACATAATAAAAAATAAATTCTAAGCATTTGTGAGACGCGATGCGATGTATTTGCTTTATAAAATCACCTGGTTTCCATACTAAGCTGTAATTATGAAAATCGTTGTTCCAATTATTTAATCCGTCCTTCTTCTTCAGATGGAAAGATCTGTAAGGTTCCAAATTGTACATAATTGGTCCGCCGCTCAATTTCTTGGCGTAAACTACGTTCCCTTTGGCGAAGGCTATTCTAATGAGTCCGGAACCGTAGTTGGTATTACCATAGGCGTTATCGCGAGGTTCCAGATTAATTTCTGAAAAGATTTATTTCTTTTTATATTTTTTAACAGTGGTAGATGGCAATTATATCTGGTGCGAGAATTGTGCGCATAATTCCACAACACAAAAGGTGAAGCGTGAAGGTGAAGCAATTCCACATATTGTCTAATAAGTTTGAATGTCGTTGGTAAAGAGGTTAAAAAAACATACAGCCCTCTATAGTGAAATGTCAACTTTGTAGGAACACAGTTGACACTTCACTTGAGATGTTTTTAACATAATCCTCTAACGCTATCTATTAATATCTACATATTATACCTCTTTTGTTTTGAGGACCTACGTTCTTAAAAACCACATGTCAGTATAACACTTCTTACATGTAGAATTAAAAAATAGTTAAAAATGTAGTAGTAATAGTATATAGTAATGTAGTAGAGTATGTTATTCATTGACAACATCGCTATTAATGGTGAAACGGTGATCGGCCTCGTAGTTTTTAAGTTATTTCAATACATACAAAAATATAAATCCTTCCTTTTT